TATTTATATATATATATATATATATATACATGCTGAAAGAGAGAGAGAGAGAGAGAGAGAGTGTGTGTGTGTGTGTCTGTGTGTGCGCGTGCGAAATTGAGAGTGAGACATCGAGAGAGCAGAGGGAGTGAGACAGAGAGTCAGCGAGAGAGTGAGAGGGCATCACGCAAGCACAACATTCTATAGGAATTTGTCAGGAAGATACAAGACGAAAGCATTACCATGACCTCAGCGCACAAGGCATGTCTCTGTTGAAGTTAGGTACAGCATCCTCGCTTTCCTATGGTGTCACCGAGGCTAGTCAAGGCAAGCATGCAAGCAGAACAACAAAGTACGAACAGGATCTCAGTGTTGCCTTGCTGACTGCGTTCCAGGTGCAGGGTTCCCCTTAGGGTCTCAAGACAGATGAGGCGGTTGTGCTGACTTGATGTCCCTGCTAAGCCTAGTCCCAAGGCCTCTTTGACTCCCCTGCCTATTGCGGGCTGTTCGCCGAGTGGAAGCCTTGTTGCACGGATTGGGCAGATTTGCCTTGTCAACAATTCCACTCTGGAACCCGTAATATTTGGGGCTTTGGGGGGGAGGAGCGGGTAGACCCCCTTTCCTCCAGCCCTGCGAAAGAAAGACAGTGAGAGCAGACAAGAGGCTCGTGCGCAGCCTCAAAAGCTACTTGCGAGGCTGTGACTGTGGTCTATGCGCGTGCTTTTGTGGACGCGATGAATCGATGCCTGTGGTTGAGTAACACTTTCTGTGGCCATTTCGGTTTCTATACAAGCTTCCGGACGCCTGCACGGCTTTGGACTTTTAGCGCAGTATGTTGTGAATACATTCCAGTTTAGTAGTGGTTTCCCGCTGGGCCCTTTACCAGCCTCTACCGTTGCCTTCAGGAATATTATATTCTAAGGGAGGCCTTCGATCCTGCTACTTGGACGATCCAGACAAGCCCTGAGCCGTGTTTCACTTAACCTAATGGTTCATCCGCTCATCCTACTCGACCTCCCGCCCTTGAGATGTAACAGCGGATTCCTGAAAGAATTGTCTCCTCAAACCCACGTGGCCAGGAATGCGCTGCCGCTGCCAGACAGATCGGACTTACCGTTGGAGTTGGAGCAGAACTCAACGGTCCGGCAAGGCTGGGTTTGTCGACTGTTTAAGCATTGAGACTGTAAGCGCAATTGACATGACAACGTTGATGGAGGAGGAGGAGGAGAAGGCGGAGTGTAGCGGTGCTTGTGGTGGGGGATGGTCATGGGGGCGGTGGGGATGGGGAGTGGGTGGTAAGGCGAGGGTGGGGAGGGTGTGAGAGGGTGGGTGGCTTTAGGCGGGATCGGGTTGCGGGCTCTGCCGGTAACAAGGGTGGTTTTGACGGTTTGGGGTGGAGGTAGGTTGGTCGTTTGGGGAGTCGTACCCTCTCCCCCTGTAGCCACTGCAGCAGCAGCAGGACCAGGAACAGCAGGAGCGAGAGGAGTAGCAGTCGCAGTCGCAGTGGCAGTCCTCGTCCGGAAGCTGAAGCAGTAATTGTCGCAGCCAGGCGCAGATGTTGTGAGGAATAGGAATGAACGATAAGCATGTTGAGGCCCAACAGCTTTTTGGGGTTGTGGGCTTCCGGAGCGGTTTGTTTGCACGGTCATTCACGGCGGCATGCTGCTCCACAATTGCCGGCTTCAGCATGCATGCAGGCATCTCTGAAGGTCGCCGTCCCAGCCGCCACCAAGTGTCGCCCGAGATTGACTGCAGCGGGTAGTGTGTGGAAGGCATTTTGAAGTAGGGTTAGCTCTAGCCATTATTAACCCATTAAAGCATCGTCACCCATATTCTCCGAAGGAGAATGGTTTTCCCACTCCAGCAGAAAGTTTGGAGTGAATGTATGAAGAGGTTCCTCCAGGGCATCGGGGATCATCGGGGAGCCGTAAAGCCGACGCTTGAAAGCTGGAACTTCCGCATCATTTTTGCGTTGCAAAACGTAAACGACAGGGAATCCCAGCACTTGTCCTCCCGGCACCATGTTCCAGCTTTTGGAGCGTGCTGTGTTGGATTTAACTGTCTTTTGATCTCGAACTGGGGTACCCAGCTCTCGAGCTTCACGCCAACGTTCCGAGGGCAAGATCCCGTCCTAGCCTGGTCGAGCAATGTCCGGCAATGAAGCTGACGTCTTGTTAAACCAGACTGAATCGTTCACATGCCTATCCCGCGCCTGAGCATAGAAAGAGCTCTTTCTTCAGGGGTGTCTGTGAGGACCACTGGCCCCGATATGTGTAATGGTCTTGCGTGCTTGTAGCTGCTGTTTCGGGTGCCAATCTTGACGCACGGTACAACTTCATACACCGCTTTCCGCCGACGAGTTGCGCTCTCCGCGTGAACTCGTCACAGATGGTTTGCCTGCAATCGAGAGTCAAACTTGAGCTGAGTTCGCAGGATATACAGTGTTCAATTCAAGTTAAGATAGCCAGTCGTCTGCGTTAGCACACCGTGGTTCAGTAACGACTTTCACACAAGACTTCGCCTCTGCAACACAGGGCTCAGAAGTTCATCAGTTCGTCAGGATGTCGTTCGATGTCTTTCCTGTCTCGATTCAGGCAAGAGTTGTTGCAGAAACCGCCATTGTTACCTGTTGTTGCCGAATCCAGTCGCGTGAAGAATGCGCTTGCTTCCCACACGGCATCCTGTACTTGAGCACAGTCCTGAATTTTTCCCACACAGTCTGTCGCCATCCGATTAGTCAAGCTTGAGTCAAAGTCTAAGGAGCTCGGATTTTGTCAGAGCTGTGCCAGGGCGAATGGCTGGCGGAGGCGGCACCTATGCCGCACGATGCTCAGATCCTCGCATGCCTGCAGTCCTGGAGGTAGACTTTTCTTAACGCCTCCAAACGCGAAGTGTAACACAACGCAGACCAGAAGCTAGCTACTGTTGTAAGCTGTAACGAAAACTGATGCTGCGTATCCCGCCTTTCCTCCGGACCGTGAAGCATCATGCCAGCATCGAAGCATGCAAGACCACAAAACGGTACTGTCTCTCCGAAATTGATAATCTCAGAAAATCATCTTCGAAGACTTCGTTGCCTACACATTGTTGCCTGCGCCAGACAACTTGTGGACTTTAAGAAAGATATTTTTCCTGACAAAACACATGTCTTTATTTCTTTATCAAGAACGCAAGAGCCAGGTATCCTAGTTTCCTTACAAAGAAAACCTAGACGACATTCTGATCCCCATACCAAAATTACCAAGCACAATAGCCGAAAACCGTCCCAGCACCATTCCGGCATCAAAGCACGTAACGCTGCAAAGCAGTGTTCTTTGCGAGGGAAGCACAGTTTTCCAACATTGATGTTCTCAGCAAAACCATCTGCGAACATTTCGTTGCCTGCACGATGTTGCGTCTGCCAACTAATCGGTGAAATCGCAAAAACTACATTCCACTTGGGGGAACACTTCTTTTTCTATACAAAAGACATGCGCCGGTTTCGTTCTGTCTAGAGGTTTCCTTCTACGAGTAGTATTCATAGCAATCTTCCTTGTGGTGATGACGCCCTGTGTTCTCGCACAGGCGTTCGTGACGGCTTCATTGCTTGTGCAATGTGATTGCTCTTCATAACCAAACAGTGCCATTGCCACAACCGAACCTATTCTGTCATGGGCTTTCTGCTACTACTGTTCTCTTCCTGGAAGTTAACGTCAACATCAGTCGTTACTATGATTACTGCTATTACTGTTGCTTCCATTTCCATGCGAATCTTTCAGAACTGCTCTGCTCTTGACCTTCTTGGCACTCGCGATGGCCAAGGTGCCGGCTCGCCGGCAGCCGATGACAGCCGAGCTATGGGACCGGCGATACTCAAAGTGGTCCTGGCAGAGATTGAGTGCTCACAGCCCTTGGGAAAGAGTCGGACTGCCAGCAGCTAGTTGTCCTCATTTCCTCTGCGGGTACACCCTCGCATTGCTAGGTCTTCAAGTTTGCATTCATCGTGCTTTTGCTTATTCCTATCCGACTACCTTGGCAGTTGCGCGTATGCTCTTTCCTTTGACCTTGCGCATGCTTGCTCATGCCATGTCTCTTCTGTCTCTTCAGATTGCGGCCCCAAACATGCATCTGGCGCAGCAGGCAAGCCTACGCCTACGGCAGGGCCAGAGGCCCGGCATGTCGCATCTAGAAGCTAGAAACATCTAGACTATTGAATGTAGGATTTTTTGCGCTTCCAGCAATGTTTGCTAAGAGTTCAGAGTCTGTCGTAGTGAGTCAGACTAGATGGAGGATCCCTTTTGTGCAATGCCCTGGCGAGCCGCTTGCTTGGGCCTTCTCAGGGTGATGAACCGTGTATGCAGAGTCTCTGGCCTAGCTGAGATTGTCCCCATGTAGCCACCTGACTCCCAAGCCCGTCTTTTCTCGGTGGGTTCGAACATCGGTGGAGGCCGTCCCCTCAGAGCAGGTACACGTGAGGCACACGCACTAGACCCTGTGCCAGGGCCCTGCGTCATGTCATTGCACACCAAGGATCCGAACGACTTCGTCCGTGGAGCTTGGGACTCGTTGTGGCCTCGGATTTCCGGAGCTCTGCAGTTGCAGTCGGATCGTCCAGAGATCTTGTCCTGACGTGAACTTTTGTCTTTTTCAGGGTTTACGTTTTTTTGAGGAAGGGGTCCGGCTGCGGGGCCTCAACCCGAGTTCTCGTGATCTACTGAGTGAGGCTTTGGCTCGAGCAGTCAACCTGGTCCAGCCTTTTGTCACGTTTTGAAAAAGGCAGCTCCAAATCCGTTGCCCAAACCGGTGCTGGGTGCCCGCAGAAGGGGATCCCAAAGCCTACACATGCCTACACCATTCTGCGAGACCTTGCTGAGCCGAGGAATCTCCTCCCCAGAGAAGGTTCGGCCTTACTTCTTGGCGAGGGCGAGGCAGATTTGGGTGGCAGGATGGGTTTCTGTACTCGCGGGATCCAGAGTTTAGGGTGAAGTTGGGGACGAAACGAGCTTCCACGAAGAGCCCGGGTAGCTGAGCCCAGAGTTTCCGTGATGAATGGGCTGTGCCGATGCTGAGATTCTCGGGCTTGGGTTCCTGTTGACGAGCTTGCGTCGTGACCCAGGTCTACTAGTACCACTGCACGTACCCGACCACTCCCACCACCACAACCACTACCACTACCACTGCTCCTCCTGCTCCTGCTCCTGCTACTGCTACTGCTACTGCTGCTGCTGCTGCTGCAAATACTGTAGCCTCAGCCAGAACTGCCAAGAAAAACAGCAAGACGCAGAAAGACACATGCCACCCCATGCACCTGAGAAGCCTGCATCCACGATTTTTGGGCCGCGGTTCAGGGCTAGGAATAGCGATGTATGCGCATTCTCGCAGGGGCGCAATGCCGTGTTTCTAGCTGGTGTCGGCTCGCGCCTCAGCGGACGTAGACTTCCGAGGACCCGGGCCGGTTGGGTAGCTGAACGACGTGCCTTAAGGGCTTCTTCCACAGTCCCGGAACCCGAAACTCAGACGAAGAACCGCCCTGCTCCCAAAATCCAATCGCCTTCAGCGCTAATTCCCGAAGTTGGAACGGCCCCAAATCTCAAGCACTGACCAGCCCGATGCCACCAGAAACCTCAAGCACTGAAGGACTGAAAAGAGGACCTCCTCATGAGCCGAAAGGCCCTAAGCTACAGGTCCAAAACGAGTTCAGTGGCTGGAAACAGACGTCGCACCAAATCGTTCCCGAGCCTGGTTGGGCGAGTCGTGCGCTGCAGTGGAAGCGAATGTTCCAAGGAACATTCGGATAGTAAGACTGCAATGAGTTCTGCCCTTCCTTCTCAGGCCTTTCCTGCACGGCCGTAGACTTGTCGAAGGCAGGCCTGTCGAAGGCGGGCTGGGCGGCTGATGGGTTCAGTATGGTTCAGTGTTTAGAGCCATTCGGAGGTCAACACGCTTTAGCTTAAAAACTGTACCGACGGGAAGACGGCTGTATAGACTTGGTATCATGGTATCAGTAATTGTCTATCGGTTCAGGACGCGCCACTAGCACAACCCACTCCTTAGACACCTTGCGAATCATTGCAGCTCGACTCCTAGAAGAAGTGGTGCACATTCATTGGAAAAACATGGAGCAACTAGTCGTGGGGAGAGAACTTGTACGTACGCACTGCGTACGAGGTACTGTAAGTACATCAGGCGCAGTTACAGTGGACTGCTGACACGAACAGCAAGCACATATTGAGAAGACAACATCAGGAGTGCCAGTTCAATCCGTCTTTAGCGAGTGTGCTTTGGTTTCTTGGGCCGTATTGGTCGTACTCTACCACCAGTGGCTGCTTGTCAACGTTACCAGGGCGATTTCAGAGGTTGGCAGTGTCCCCAGCCCGATGCTCTGCCTGCTTGTGCTCTCCGCTTGCTCTTCCGCTCTTCGCCAGGCCCGCCGCCTGGCAGACGAGCGAGGTGTGCGAATCAAAACGGACCGCATCTGAGCTTGATCTTGAAAGTATTGAACGGTTATGTGTGTTTCAGACTTGCCCCTGTAAGCGTGATTGCGGACCAGGTCCGCGTGACGTCTCTTCATGAGGGTGGTGGCTTCTTTTGCTTAAAGCTGTGGTGGATGGGTGTTTCGAGCTGAATGAGTATGGCCTTCGTCATGTCATCCTCTGATGAGGCTGTCGACATGCGGTGCTCGTAGGCGGGTAGGCAGCAAGACAAGACGGAATAGCCTGGCAGAGAGGAGACTCGTCTAATGCGAATTCACGCGGAGTGGCGTGCCGGAGAGGCCGGTGACCATGCGGAAGGTACAAGCATCTAGAAGCATCTAATGGAACGCAGTCCCCAACCTGTCAACCCACAGGCTTCTCTATCTCCCAGCCTTCGTCCTAACCCTTCCGAGGTAGCTGCTGATCTTGCAGATTTCTGCATGGGCTGCAGCTGACGCGGGCTGAGCTGCTGCAAGGAAGCGGTGTCAGGCTGTCGTATTTCTTCATGGGACGTCCCTGTTGCAGAGCCCAGGCTGGGATGCCATCATCTCGGTCTTCTGCCACCTGGAGCCACCGCTGCGGCGGCAGGCAGACCGTTTGAGTCAGGAACTTGGAGATTAAGGCCCTTGCAGGACTCCCGCTGAGATGTGCAATACAGGGCAAGGACAGGTGATTTGAAGAGATTCTTTGGGCAGGTGCACCAGGCGGCGGCGGAGGCCTTGAGGCCCGGAGGCGCCACCACCCGGAGAAGAGAGGAAGAGGTTACCCCAAAAGATCCTTGGCCCTTTGTTTGGGTGTAGTTTCTGGTGCTGTGTTCGAGGTGTCGTCGTCATCGAAGCCTTCACGCCTGCACAGCTGCCAACTCAAGTATGCAATGATTGCGGGATCTCAAGATTCCCACCGACCGATCTACACCTAGGTCAGAAGCCGACATCTGAGTACAGCGGGAACCAGTGCTGAGGCGCCGGTACAACTCTGGTGGACCCCCGGACGAAGAGCGTCTGGCGAATGCCTCAGTTGGGGCAGTGGTCTCGGGTCGAATGCACCCTTGTCAGTGAAAGCTTGTTTTTGGCTGGAAATTCTGTCATGACGAGGACTTGAGCTTTCCCTGCACGCGTTTTGCTGCAGGGCTGGGGCTTCTGGTGGGTGACTAGGTGGGTTGCAAAGCTACTGGTAATTGGGTAATCATGTCCGTGCAACTTCGTTCCGAGTCCTCCAAAATTGATAGAATGGGTACCATGTCTTTTGTGACATTGCGTCGCACGTAGAAACATGTTGAACTAGTTTGATTTACGCCCTGTCAACTTTGCCCCATTGTTCAATTGTTCAGGTGTGTGCACTTTTGATATGGCCGTTCCACTGCCCAGCCTGAATCTGATTTGTCGAAGTGATCCGAAGTTGGACTCCGCCAGGTCACGGAGGAGATGCTTCTCGAGGACTTCCAAAACTTGGAGGTGCCAGAGGGTGGAGCTTGTGTCTGTTCACGACTTTTTCTGAAACGTGAGTACTCTCATGATGAGGCGTGCATTCTTGTCTTACAGCTGCGGATTGTCTTGTCATTCTACATCTCCATCTTTTTGCTTAGGAGGTAATGTTGATGAGGTTGATGATGATGAAGATGATGATGCTGATGATGATGATGATGGTGATGATGGTGATGATGATCACGGTGGTGATGGCCATGGTGGTGATGATGATGATGATGATCATGGCGCTTATGGTTGCAGTATGGCGGCTGCCGTAGTCGTTTCCTTTCTTGGTCTATATGGTGTCCAGCTGTGGAGGTCGTTCTTTGCCGGCAGCTGGAGAGGGTGGTCCTGGAGGGCAGCTACCACACAGGCATCAGTTCTCTTCAAGTCAATATTATGCTAAAGACACACAAAACCTCCGACGCCTACGAATCCCCGCGGGCATACAGCCGTGACTCGATGTGGCAGCGGTGAAGACCCTTCCCTGTGCATTGGCAGTTCCTCCATGAGTATCAAGAAGTAGACCCAGTTTTCCTCTTCATCTCCTTTTGAATTGCGGTCGTACTTTTATTTACTACACAAACCTGTCTTCGATTTTAACAAACCGGCCAAGCGGAGTAGTAGTCATCGTCGTTTTCGTCGTCGTGTAATATTGCTCGCAGAAGTATTACTCGCTGTTGTTGTTATTGTTGTAGCTGTGGTCGTGTTAGTAGTCATCTCCATCGTCGTCGATGCAGTGGTAGTCGTACTAGAGCTAGTGCCAGCACTGGCACTAGCACTAGTACTAGTGCCAGTACGTACTAGTAGTAGCAGTGCTAGCAGTAGTAGCAGTAGTAGCAGTGCTAGCAGCAGTAGTAGTAGTAGTAGTAGTAGTAGTAGTAGTAGTAGCGTCGTCGTCGTCGTTGCAGTAGCAGCTATAGCAGCGGTGGTAGCAAGCACTATCGTCGTAGCACGTAGCAGCAGTCTCGCCGCG